TTTATCGCGTTTCCACAGTTTTAGATACTTTTACCGTACATAGCAACACGTATGCACAATGCAAACAGTGATAACTCCGATAAGATCGCGATGAAATACCAACATCGATGGTAAATGTTCATATCAACCTATAAAGTATTAAGTAAAATAATTGATCTACAGTCACGAAGAGAACTGTCCTCATGCCATCAAAACATAATAAAACAGTGTTACCCTGTTCGAAAAAGTACACATTGACTACATTGGGTCACACATAATCTTTCCATCTTTCTGAGCCTCAGTGCTTTTCCAAGGTCAAATATTTCATCAACTCCTGTAGGCACTGTTTCAAAATAGATTTCACCTAATGTCAATGATTGTCACCATATGTATTCCTTTCCTATTGTTCTATAGACACATCTAATAGACACACCTAGCTATTTACAGGTTTCAATGAAGCATGTATGACTTACAATGACCTCTTGCACGTGTTTCATTGACATTAGACGTGTTTTAATGATGTAGGTCCGGGTTTCAATATGAGATACACTAGACGATACATCACTTTCCGTGTTTAAGTCAAGTGGCCCAGTGTTGGGACGACAATATTTTTGAGTTTCCCCATGTTTTTGGAAGGTTACGAATTAAGAAACTTACTGTGGAATATCTTAGGGGATTATGGGCTGACATGAATCTGGTACTTTTCAAAAGAACGGTGGGAACACATCGAAATACACCGGTACACTACAGCAGTTAGCAATGAAATGTACCTTAATCTTCACTTCATACACAGCGATACAAAGTTAAATTAATAATTCCTTGCTCTTGCAGACCACATTGGTTCTTTGTTTATCATTACCACTGTAAGCGTGCATAACAACGAACATTTTTTTGAGCTTTGCACTAATATCTAAAGAAGGTTATGTTTATCTAAGATAATTAAATTTGAAATAAATTATAATCATGTCCTGGTAGATATTCATGTTCATAAGCTGTACCATAGACAATTCTAACACGATATAGCAGTGATAATATCCTATGCACAATAAGCTAAAGTATATTCTGATTACAGCAACACAGAAAAACTTGAAACATAATGTAAAAAATATCAGTCGTTATATACATTAGATGCCATATGTTCACCCCTCCTATTGCATTCAAACAAAGCATATATAGCACGCATGATAATCTGTAAATACATATAATTAGTTATGCTTCAGCTGAGTTCATTAAAATATTATTGCCAACTCGTATACAATACAATCTAATAGGCACACATAGCTATTAACTGGTTTCAATGACGTCTACATGACCTCCAATGACCTATGCACGGGTTTCATTGACATTACACGGGTTTTATTAAAGTAATCACAGGTTTCAATATGAGATACAATAGGCAATGCATCACTTTCCTTGTTCAAGTCAAGTAACGGTGTCTTGAGGGTGAGGCAATAATCTGTTCCTTGAAAGGTTACGAATAAAGAAACTTGAAGAATATCGAATAATGTTATGGATCCACATTGATCTGGCAGATTCCAAAAAAACTGTAGGAACATATCGAATCTCACCTATATTATAATAGGACGTACACAACAGTAGTCAGCACCTTTTGGTGTACATAATGAGGAAATATGTCTCCATACTGACTTCATACACATTAAAAAGCCAAGGATAGGAATGCCATATGTTCATCCTGCCTATTGCATCAAAACAAAGCATATACAGCGCGCATGATAATCTGTAAAATCATATAATTAGTTATGCTTCAGTTAAGTTCATTAATATTTTATGATGGCTGGCGAGGCGTAGAACTGTAAAAAAACTAAAAAATCCCATATGCAAATAACGAAGTTAGTATTCAATTTGAAATATTATGGCCAATTCGTATACAATGTGTATTACAAATATTCATCTCTGAAATTATGTTTCAATTAGGAATATTTCTTTTACTTCTCTAGCTATGATGTATTTTTGTTCTTCTGCCAATTGTTATGAACTGGATATCTCTAAGAAATGATGATACGCTGGTAATATATTTTCTCTTATAATCTAAATTTAATATTGGTTGACTTCATAATAAATTCATGAGTCACAGCTCATGATAGTGACATCGGAACATAAAATTAATATGACAACCGCGACACAACATAATTAACTAATGATTAAGACAGCATACGTATATGCATGTTTTTTTGTTTTCATGTGTCCTCTCAAAAAAAATGGCCTCAGCCGTCGGCTTTGTGGCAATAACTGTATACTGAAAAATATCCCCTCAACGCCCCATTTTCATAATTCAATTTGAACAGAAACATTTTTTTTGGGCAATTTCAGAAGACAAGTTTCCGTGTTTCGGCTTACAACACGCCAATGTTTGTGACATGGTCCATAGACGTAGTCAGTTTAAGGGGCCAGCTCTTGAATATCAGTCGTTATACATAGAAAAAATTTTTTTTGGTTATTGTGTCCATATATTTCACAAGTTCATAGCGCCCTCAATTGACTAAGAGGTTCAGCCTGCTATATTTGTGTACTGTAAAATATTTTATTCAAATAAATGAAAAAAATAAATATTATCTCCTAACAAACCAATTGTTGTGATGTAGTTTTGACCAAAACATTGTTTTTCTCTGTAAGGACTTAGACAAGACAAGTATTCAATCATGTACTCAGGTTTTGTTACCAGCTCTAGAGACTCTAATTATCTAGGCATAATTTGTATTATTATTATTATACATCTGTCTTCGTAACGCCATAAATTACAGCGTGCCGTAATTTTACGGGGTATGTTCATCCTACCATATAAGAAAATGCGAATTCCAAATATGCAATGAATTCGCGCGTAAGCGTCCTCTAATAATAAAAACAAACATGGTTGCCAACGGGGTTTGACCGGGGTTCGCTGATTCTGTTCAAAACTTTTTGAATTTCGACATTCTCATGATGTATCCTTGGACGAAAAAGATGTATAATAATAAGGTTATTACGAGATTAGCTCAAAGTATGCACTCAGACAGTACGCAGCACATCGACTCCCACTGCGTCGGTCAATACTCCAGCTGTACTGTCTTCGTGCATTCTTTGAAGTATCCTCGTAATAACCTCCTATTTAATAGCATTATTTTCACACAAATAATTTCGTGTCCCTATTTTCTGAAGCATTTACATATCTAATACCTCCCGGTTAATAAGTTGAGTTGAAGCAAATATATAAGGCAGAATCTAGTGCGTTCACGCAAAAAAAAGCTGCGCTCTGATTGGTCTGAGTTTTTACATTGGGCAGCCAAATCAGTCAAATTACTGTAACAGTCAAAGTAACATTGAATCTGATCCTGCGTTCTAAATGTTGACAAAATTGAACAGGACATAGCCACTATCATACATTCATCTTTATTTTACACTTCGGAGTGAATCATTAGGTACCCTGGAGGCAAAGGCAAAAACAAAAAAAGCAAAGGAAAAAAAATCATCAATAAATTGTGTAGGAATCGATAACAGAAAACAAATATACACGTATACATGTCAGTGACGACGTGTACGTGTCACAAAAACGATGAGATAATACGACCTTGCACCAACAAATTTACAAACGACAAAACTTGTCAGCCATACTGTCACAAAACCTTGGTTATACCAAGTATATTCCAGGTCAGATGTTGAGTCTGTTCTTACCTGATCTTCTTACCTACATAGTTTGTGTGAAGTACTGACAACTCGACTCCGTGTACAGGATATTCTTAAGGTAGGAGCCTAGTCATAATTTTTCAAAAATGTTGGTCATCATTCGCATGACAATTGTCCAATCGCACCATGAAATAGCATTCTTTTGTTTGTTACAGTGACATATTTTGAAAAACTTCTCTTAATATTTTTTATCAAAAATCGCTATTTTTGGAACAATTCTATAGAGCGACATGTTAAAGAAAACTTGTATTTTTGTCACTTAAAACCCAGATTTTTTAAATAATTGACAACAACAAAATACAACCTATCATTAACAATATATATCATTTGTTGAGCGTATGTCACCAGACTACAATTTAAGACATGACGTATTAACACTGTCTAAATCACATATGGTAAAAATGTAATACTGACAAAATGACCACTATCCACTGAAGTACCATGATCTCAAAAATGAAGCGAGTCACCCACAACTCTTTTAAGTCAATATTCCTATATTGCTCGGAAAAAAAACAAATTATAAAATTGAATAAATTCTGGGTTTTTGAAATCATGAGTAGGCTTCTACCCCTAACGCGAAGTCGTTATTCGTATAGCCAAGTTATCAGACAGTGACTAGGCAAGCCAACGGGTGGAGGATTTCTCTTGAATAAAGATTTACTCGTGTGGTCGAGATTTCCAGCGTGTACTAAGACAATAGATACTGCAGTAAGTTTATGTCAGCCCGGCTAAGCAGCCAAGGAACTGTTTTACCCAAACTAACTGCAAAGTCTTGTG